TGTCAGACTCTTACTGACTAAAAACCACCCCGTTCCTTCTCCTGCACGTCGAGTCGGAGCCCCGGTTACCCGTTAGGTTCTCCGCGACTCCGAACTTGTATAATATACATTTATAATACACACACATACTTAAACATAAGTAATTATGGAAATTAATAATAATAATTATGTTGGTCAAATTAAAAAGTACATAAGTAGCGAAAATAACAAGTATATACAAGCAACGACATACAACTACGTCTAAATAAAAGCTATACAATGAATTATGTAAAAAACAAATTAAGTGCGTGTGCGCATCCGAACGACTCATTCACAGCCTCTTTAGGTACTAAGCAAATAAAACTAATTGTACACAGCTAGTTACGTGAATGTGGTAATTATAATGCAATACTTTATTACATAATAAATTTTTTTTTAATTTTTATTATACAGCATGTTTTATTTTTTGTATATTTTTTCCTGTACCATTTGAAGCACCATCTGTGTTATCAATATTGTTCGTGAACTATTTTAAAGATAATATTAAGAGATATGAATTACGAAATCAAAGATCGATGTAACTCTTAATCTTTTCAATGTATTTTATCTTAAATACAAGGTTTTTTGACATTTACTTCATCAGTTTTTTTTAGTTTCTGTATCGTTTTTTTAGAATAAAAATAGGTAAATGCTATTTAATCAAATACTTCAGTGTTCCGTCAGACTAGGATCTAGATAAGACTTAAATTTTAAAGTACAACAAGGTTTTTTAAGTCAAATAACTATAATATACTTAATGTATGTAATGTGTCCAACATATAACATTTTATCAACACAAATGTCAGAAAATAATTATTTTTAAATTGTTAATTAATGAGTCAATCACAATTTGTAGTCATTCGTTAAATGGATTTTATAATTTACGTAAATATTGATTTATCCTTGAATGTTACAATTTATTTCTTTGGTGTTAATACTAAACATATTCATCCCTTAATAGTCGATTAGCAAAAATTTACAAGAAAATATGTTACCTGTCAATTGAAAAATCAGTCCTTGAACAGTTAAACTATGAAATAATTGTGTTAATCTCTTTATTATTCGTTAATAGTATGTTGATACCATATCTTCCACAGAAGCCAAGACTACTTTGGCGTAAAGGAAAGCTGCTAAGCTCAACACACGACACATAATTGTGCTGTACAATTTATTCAAAGTCATCCTCTTGTTAAAATACTATGATGGAGTTTCAGTCAGTTTTAACAGGTGTCTACAAAAAAAAAGAAAACAATTTAAATAAATGTGAACCTTAAGTTCACATAAAGCATAAACAAGAAAATTCTTGAAACATTACCAGTACTTACCTACAATACTCTGGCGGTAAATTCAATGTCTTATACCACAATAATAAACTTAAAGCAATGCTCCACGTTCTCAGTGGTCCAAACATGAAAGACATAGTTCCATATTCCAACCAAAAGAAGTATGCCAATAGGAGCTGTATTGATAGTAAGAACACAAATGGCAGATTCAATATCAATCTCCTCACTCCTCTGGCACTATAGCCATATAGACGATAGTCCAAGCAGTGTGCCAATACAAACACTAGAGGTACTTGTACAAACATTAGTTGCACACTTCCATACATATAGGTAAATGGCTCTGGAATGAATGACCCCTTTATTAGTATACCCCAAGCAAAAATTGCTCCCACATGGCCATCTATAAGCTCTCCAATGGCCCATGGACCAAAAGGAAGATATGCTGCATACAACACAATAGGATAAAACACCCGGTCTATTTTACTCAATAGCCAGAGTCTCCTTATCATCTGTCGAGCATATTTCACACGAAGCCTTGGGGGTCTTTTGCTTAGTCTAAGAACTACTAATGGCAAAACATTAATCATTAGAAGTGTTCCAAATATTGCCTGAAACTGATAAAACAAGAACAATTAGTATTATTGTACAATCATTTCATGAAATTCAATACCTAATAATATACTACTACTTACCACTACTCCGGCATCCAACATGAGCAAAATTCTGGCTGTTATCTCAAAACCCATTACACTTCCATCCAATGTGAAGGGATGTTCAACAAAGGCTTCTCTTCCTAACTCATCATAAACTTTGACATACAAATAGTGAACACCTTTCTTAAACAAGTGAGGTAACCAATGACAAACATAGAGTGGCCCTTTGGTGTGCCTGCATGTCATCCAACTTATTTGGTCAAAGGATATATCTACATTTTTAACATCTACATCACTAAATGCAAGAATTCTTATGTGACTTGAGTCTGGAATTAATTGCAAAGGTTCCCGACCATGCATGATATATCTGGCATGTTTTGGATTTGTGACCAGCACAAGTGGCCAGACATTATGTTTCTGATCAACAAATGAGAAATGACCATGATCTATAGCTGCCAGTCTGTACATTCTGTTATCTTTCCAGTCTCCTAGCTCCAGCTCTAAGTAGCCTTTCTTTTGTTTTGTGTACATTTTTGTAACTAATCCACCCATAGAATGTAAATGTCCACAAACATAAACATGTGAACCTCGACTTGAACCAATAAGTTGGCGTATATTTACTTTCGAGGCTTCATTCTCAAGGGACAGTATGCATGACGTAGGGTAGTGTCCAAACCAAACAATATGGTCAGCTTTACTTTCTGCCTCTACTTTGAGCTTCTGCAGAAGTTGTTGTTCTCCTGCATCTAATATGCCAATAAAATTAAATGGTCTTCTTAGACCAGGGTCTGGACATGCATCAACACCCAAGAATGCAACATTGACACCGTTTGATTGAACATAATGAATATAAGACTTAGCATGTTTATGCCCTTGTACTGAATAATTCCTGAAGTAATTTTCTTGAGAATGTATTGTTCTGATGTTAAAGTTATCTGTAAATACAAACTGACATTAGTTTAACAATATCTCTGAGTAAGTAGTTATCAATGCTTTATCTACATATTAACATAGGTACAATTATAAACTGAAAATGAATCCAGTTTTATCTATAGAAAAAATCGAAAAAGGAAACCTCAAATTGATAACAATTAATCCATACAGTATGATTACCTAGATTAATATGGACAGTCTATATAAGTCAGTGAATCATGTCATTATCATGCCTTATTTATTACTGCAACCTTCATAATAGTTAAACAATGGTCTTGTTGTACATATTAATTACTGGTCAATAAGTTATTCCATATTAGTAAAAGGAATAGAAGTAAAATTAAAGCTTTTAGAGACAAAGTAGTGAAAACTAACCATGATTTCCTCTTATGTCTAACCAGGCAGTTGTATCAGTGACTCCTGACTCTTGTACAATATTATGATAATATATCCACTCTGTCTTCACTTGGGAACTACCTAAGTTATCTTTGGCCTTAGCATCAGTTAGGTCACCCGTTGCCAAAACTATTGCAGGCTTTATTTTCTTGACTGTGTTATCACAGAATTGTTGAAATTGTGATATTCTTCCAGGATCCCGAAAAATACTAATATGTATATCTGAAATCTAGTAAACATAATGTTATCAATACTATTTGTCTGTGTAAATAACATTATTAATACAATACTAAATTAAATACTGAAAGAAAACAACGTCAAAAGTACCGGCATTATTTGTAACGACGACAGAATTCTTTATTATCACTTGCCTTTGTCTCCAAAACTACGTCACAGTTTAATGATCAGGCGAATAAGTACACACTACGAATTAAAGCTAACATACCTGAAGAAACCAAACTACTTTCTCCGGTGTATCATCAATTTTCACATATTTTTCAACTAAATACTTGGTAAAGTTTTTTCCCTCGTTTTCGTTTTCAATATAAAAATTATGATCCGTAGCAATCATATTTAATAAACTTGCCATAAAAACCGATATCAATACAAGAACACCCAAAAACCACACAGTACTTTTCGAAAGAATCATATCCACTGTTTATTTTTTACAACAAATATACAAAACTTGCATGAATTTAATAATAGTTAAATTAAATTATGTGGAAAATTATCTTCAACAGTCAACAAGAAAAGTTCGATCTGACATTTCTTTTCTTCTGATTTTGGTGACAGCTGGTCGAGTCCACTGATTACGAATGACAGTTAGACTGATAATGACAAAAGCAATAGTGATGTCGTGACAGCTGTGTGCTTGATTTTAATACTTATGTCGTCGTCAACTCGACTAAATATATGAAATTATCGATAGTTTTTAGAAATATGAAATTATCGATAAATCAAGGACGTTGAAACAACGTCCTCGATTTCACTTGCATTTCTTTCAGTTGTAAGTTGTCGATAGATCGAAGCTTAAAGTCTGTATTATATAAACACGTTATTTTTATTTTCTGATGGGATTTTTAAATTATTATCAACAAATGGCAACACTCGAATAAACCGCGAAATTCAAAAGGTTCAATGAAAATAAGGTTTCAGTTTTATGAAGTATGTAGCTTGCAACTTGGAAATTAGTCTCTGAAACGGTTTTTATTCTTTTTATTAAATTGTTAATTTTTTAAATTCCGTACTCCAATGGGAATATACCATATTACTTTTACTAGTACGTCTGTCACTAAAATTTTCATGCAATAGATAAATCTATATGCCTTCTCCCACCTAGGTGAGGTGGGAGGGAGTGTCAGACTCTTACTGGCTAAAAACTACCCGTTCCTACTCCTGCACTTCGAGCCGGTACCCCGGTAACCTTTTATGTTCTACGCGGTTCATGGGGTATAGGCTAAGAAGCTCCTAAGTAGCCGCTCATCTAGATAAAATACGAACTCAGTCAAACCGGGAATTTAACACTGAATCTCATTGAACAGTTACATAAAACAATGAGGCAGATCTTAAGTTAGGTACCTATGTAAAAAAATTGACCCAACATCTAAATTCATAAGATTCGAAGAAAATGCAATGACGCGAACTAGAAGTCGAAGCTGCGACAACCGACTTACAGTGTCGTTGTTTCAAATTAATTACAACACGGACATGTTTGCGTAATTAACATTTACTTCAATATAGGTTTATGTGTTAGGCTGCCTTTATTATTAGGTAATATAGATTGAGAGGTGAATATAGACAGACAAGTGGTGAAGATATAAGGAAATTCTTCATACTATCGATTCACCCCTCTTCTGTTCCTATTCACCTCTCGATCCCTATTCACCCAATTTTACGGTACCTACTAGGTATAAGTATAGTAGGTACGAATGGAAGGTACGAGTTAGATGTAGGTAGGTAGGTATATATGTTTACGGGCACTTTAAATTTTAATAAAATACATGTAATAAAAGGTAAGACGAAAGAACTACTACGAAGCAATTAAATGAACTCTAATAGATATCCTACACTCACATTTAGAAGTACTTACTAGGGCTATTAGCTAACCTAGTTACGCGGACTCGGGTGCAGGCTTTATGATTAGCTAATAATACTGTCTCTACTACTAATGAATCTCCTGGAATGTATAGGTATCTACGTCTCTTAAAAGACACAAAATCCATATTACATGCCTTACTTGTGTAACAAGTATGCACCCACTCTAGTCTAAACTCATGAACCTACTTTAATTAGGTATATATCTATTTAAAATACTTAGCGCAAAGAATCTAGAAAAGTCATAAGTTTGACTAGTGTGGGCGCACTAAGTAGAGCCCTAGTTGTCGACTTAACTGTAAGCTAAACAAAAGATTAGAGGTGCTCATAGGCAGGTCGCCGGGGCCGCGGCCTCAAAGTGTTTGGAAATTCTATTTATTTTAATGGGCAGAGGTTGACCGCGCGCATTCCGTCCGCACAGTGACGCCGCCGAGTCGCGTCGCACACCGTACCCACACGGAGGCTCCAGCCTACAGCGGGCCTCGGCCGGTACCAGCGCGCCACTATCTTGCCGCATTCCACCGATCCGAAGTCGCGGCGCGCCCCGCGCGTGCCTTCGCTGCCGACCCACGCGCCCGCGCCCGCTTCACTCAGTCGTACTAGCGCGCCCATGGACTTAGTGCGCCTCGACGTCAGCCGTCACGCCATTCAACTTACAAGATCGCGCGACTTATAGTGAAGTGAAGTGCCAATGGATGCGGTTAACCAAGGATTATAGTGACTTTACGTGCAGCTGTACAGGATTTATCTATTCATGGTGAGTGAGATGAATCCAGACGGCGCCACGGACAGCCGCAGTGGATGCGCGCGCTTTCACGATGCGGCCACTTTCATTTCATACGCATAGCTCGAATTCCGCGCGCCCGCGCCGACCGCGCCGCGGCCGCTGACCCTGCGCTCGCGCGCCCTTCCTCGACACCACCACACCAGCAATACCAGCCATGCTCAATGCGGCAAATGCCCAATGCAGACTGATAAACATCACGACTTGCCTTTTAAAGTAACGTTTATTACAAACTAGGGTATTATTACGCAGGATTCTGCATAGCCTAATAATTTTCCAAACTCACCAGTACTAGATTCGGGTTAATAAATACCTAGGCAATTTGAAATATGTAGAGGTAGTGTTTCCAAACGCAATGCTTCCACAAGCTAAGTAAGTACGTAAGCAGAAACCTCAAACATTCATAAATCAATAGGCAGATATTAGGTAGATAGTTAGGTAGGTGTTATTAACATTAATCTAATCATACAAAATCTATTGAAGTTTTAGGTAACATTAGTATTTAATTCTTTGAACGACAGCATTTAAATGATACGCAATTAAGAAAGCACAAGAAATACGAGAATATAATATGAATTTATAAATATGATTCCGCAAAACTAGTCCGAAAACCGAACGGGATTTGTTTAGCTCATCACGTCACGCTCTACTTACAAACAAACATCCTGCTTGACTGTCTGACTCACTACGAGGGTCAATTAAATTCTCTAATGAAGCTCAACTCGCATTATATTATGTAGAATTATTTAATTTAATATCCGCGTAGAAGTTAAAGTCATGTACGTAAAGTTATCTTTTATATTCTGTAGATCATTGTCGAGACTATCATCCCATCGCCGTCATTCAATAAAATTGCTGTAAAAATTTCTGTATTTACAGGAAAACATGAAATCTTACGCCTAATGTAATTTTAAGATATCGATATAGGATAGGATACCTGGTACCTAGCTAAACAAACGCATGAGTTATTTTTAATGACTGTTTTGTTTATTTTTTGTTACAAAAATAATGATGATTACTAAGACATGATTACTAAGAAAGAATAGATACGTCTACTATTTACCAAAATAAAATGTACCTAACAGATTAAAAATATTAATGTCAACATTTGAAGCAATTGTTTTCAAAATTGAATGAATTAATAAGTTTACCGCTAATTGTTACACTGATTAAGTATTCTTATACTATTATGTTTTTTTACTACAACTTACTACAAGAACTGGCTTAACTAGTTTATCTACATCGAATAAAAATCCAACAATTCGTTTCCTATCTGCTAAAGTAGGTAGTCCTTATATTTATTTCAATATTAATTGATTAGGTAGTCTTTAGGGATTTCCCTTAATCTGATGAACCTGAAACTATTAAATCATATTGTCCAACTCCAACCCGCCTGCCAAACGTGGAAAATGTGGTAAACTTCTCTTATAGGTAGAAGAGTTTCATAATCCAGCAGTCAATTGTGGGCTGTGGACGATGGATGCTGGTATCTCAGTATTTATCACGTAAATTAACACAGTAACGCACATATCCTTTAATTGCCCCTACTGCCATCTAGGATCAACGGATAGAAATGTCTAACGTCATCATCACCACTAAACAGCTAGATAAGGTTGATCTCAGGGGTTTATAAGCATCCCATTATCATTACTGACCTTTTAAATTGAAATCATCCAATGACTCTCTGGGACAGATTTTTGCTCACAAATAATTAGGTAACCTATTGGAAATGTTACAAATCTCATTGAGGTGGCGTTAGACCTATTTGAGTATAAGGTCATGTTGCATAAAGTTTGATTGTAACATTCCTTAGCATTCTTTCAAATATCTCTAATTAAAGTTAATCAATGTCACTATTATGGATGCAAATGCGATTAAGCTACTCACGTAACTGTTTGGGGGTATCTCAATAACTATGAGCCCCAAGTGTAGCTTGTAACCAGTCGAGATACCTCGTCAAACGACCGTTCTAAAACTTTCAAATTAGGTAATCCGTAAAACATAATTAATTTAGGGAAATTTTGCATGCTCGTAGATGTAATAGTTTGTGTTCTAACATACTGCAGTGATTGATACAGGTACCTAACCGATGAATCATTAACAGTTGGCTCGTAATAAACGACTAATACCGCGACCGCATTCCGTTGATAGCAGAACGAGTAGGTAAATAAAAGTAAATTTTATTTAACCAATGACAAAGCACACTTAAACATTTTTATGGCATGTTTTGTCGACTCTCGAGCACTATAATGCAGAAAATCTTATTGCTCAATAGAGTAATAAGATTTTCAAGTATTCTAGAAGATTCAGTAATTTATTATCAAGACAATATTAAAATACTAACCTCGTTTTCTATGTAAACAAAACATGACCTACTTGTTGAAATTTGAGAATTTATTAGGTAGGTACCAGAAAATGATACGCGATTAAATATTACACAATAAACGATGATGTCACTATTATCACATCAAATAAATGTGAAATCTTTCGTTAAATTACGTAAAGATAAATCGCAAACCCCTTTATACGACTGACATTAGCGATAAACACGATGTTTAGTAGGTCTTGCGACCTAGATGGTTTTATTTTGATAGTCATCCCTTGTAGTAGGTACCGATGTAAACAAACGCGAATAAGTATAAAATTATTTAACTAACAGTAAATAAATCCATATTTTATACTTATAATATTAACATAGTGTTGCTTTGATACCTGCAAAAGTAAGATAACTACAGGTACAAAAATCTATAGGATAAAATTTCACAGACACATAGAAGAATTTGACTAATAAGATCGTCATTTTTCTTTCTACCCTCATCCCAATTTACTGAGGGCAGTGCAAATCAAATGTCTTTTCCCATTCTCCCCTTTCAGACGTCATCCTACCACCAAAATATTTTTATTTCATAAATAACATAATTAGGTACCTGCCTCACGCAATCCATC